CAGCCAACTCTCCTAACTGTTCCTTCACACACTAGCCACGGTGCAAGTGGAGTCTAGACCTGCAGGCAGTATGACTTTGCTTGAGTAATCTCTTTTTTTTTTTTTTCCCCTTTTTTTTCCTTTTTCGTAGTTGTAAACTGTGGCAGCCCTAAAACCCTGACCAATGGAGCATTCAGCTATGTTAATGAACTTGCAAATAACAAGTACCAGTCAACTATCTCATACCGATGCAATGAGCCGTACTATCACATCGTCACTGGAACAGGCGGTGGTGAGTCCCACACAGACACTGAAACCTGTGTGTGAAGAGCCCTCTCAGGTTTCCATTTGGTACTGAGTCTTCTCTCCAGGCTTAGGGCTCATGCTTTTCTCCTGTGAAGACCTAACAGTTTTTCCTCAACTCTGCGAATAACTCCTGAGACTTGTCTCAGCCTGTTCCCACCCTGCTTCTTTCCCAGAGTCCATTACATCTCTCTTCCATGCTCCCCTTAACATTTGCAGAGGGACTTATTTCTGCGGTAGTCATGGTTCACTCTTTTCTAGTCGATTTCATTCTTTTGCTGAAATTTGAAGCATGGTGTCTGGGAATCATCAAAATTCAGAAAACTCACCCCATCAGTACAAGTTGCTACAGATGCAAATAAATAAACTCACACTCCGCTCCACTATAACACTGTTTAGATCTTTGGAATATTTTTCAGCTGCAGAGATATCTAAGAGCTAAATAAAATCTTACAGAAAAATGTGGTTTTATGCAGCAAGTCAGAAAAATTAAGTCACTGTTCAAAACCATTCACATGCTTTCTTTTTACACCCAAGACATAACTTGATGATGCAGGACCTTGGATTCCAAGAACAGCACAAGGAGTTCATGATTTCCTTGCCTTGACTGCTCATTTAGCCTCCCTCCCTGCCAAAAACAAAACCAAAACCAAAACAACAACTCAAACTAAACCAAACCAACCAACCAAACCAAAAAATGTATATTTTTAAACTGAATTAGTTTGCTGGATAGAGTTGCAAGCACACACACAGCTGTGCAGCATGCTGGAGAGAGGTGACATGCTACCACTGGGGCCAGGAGCAAGCAGCTAGGGAGTTCTTTAAGTTGGTACTAATGTTGAATTTGATTATTCTTGCATCTGAGTTTAACGCCTTCATATAGAGTCAGAGCTCGGTCTCATCAGAAAAAAAAATCAGGAGCAAGTAAATATCAGCATCAGCCAAATTCTGATGTGGAGTCATTGTGATTTAGTTAATTTTGAAAGAGAACAGCAAACACTTTCTTAGAAGCATTTACTTCAGTGTTAAGACAAATTGTATAAAAATTAGTTTTAGTCACCAGAACAAACTTTCTAAGAAAAGCAAGAGTGTTGGACATAGTGGAGTTTGTTTTGAGAGGTGATATGCAAGTTTAGCCAACCTGCAACATCGGCTCAGAAATAGATACTGAGCACTTGCAGCAACTGACTCATCTTGCTCCCATTTCTGAAACAAACACCTTGTCCTACTCTCTGTGAACCACAAAGACCAGAAACTTGAATCTAAAATCCACATCCTTACTTCTTTTCATTTCTTTGGGATAAATTAGGTAAAACAGTTCTCCATACGCATGTGGACTGAGTGAAGTTAAGACTTCCCTCAGATGGCCCTTCAGGTTTTTCTTCTACAGAAGCAGTGCCTGAACTTTACTGGTCCCCTGGAACTGAGGTGCTTAAAGACACATGAACAGAAACATTTCCATACTATACCACAGATAGCTTTTCCCACCTCTGTCGTGGAAGGACTGAGTGCAGTATGTGGGACACCTTGGAGAAAGGAATCCCTTGAAAACTATTCTATTCTATACTATTCTGTTCTGTTCTGTTTTCCCACCCCAGACCCTGCAGGCCGGAGTCTCATTTTCTTCTCTCTCATCCTACAGACAGATTCACCTGTTCTCCCGAGGGAACCTGGCTGGACCAAGATGGCCAGGCAAAGATTCCTGCCTGCTTGCCAGGTCAGTAAGAACTCTGACTTCTTCTAGTGTTTACCATCTCGTGCTTACAATCAGTACAAAACTGGGACAACATACAGGAAGGGGAGTGAGGATAATGGTGTCAGTGAGGGAAGACAGGGAAGTCTATCTACGAAGCCAAAATAAGGTGAAATCAAACAGTGATGGTGTGGGAAAACAGAGAGATGAGCCAGGGCAATAGAGGGTGTCATGCTTTTCATGTTTTCTCCTTGTATTTCTCCACAGTGTGTGGGAAGCCGGTCCATCCCGTTATGAAAGTCCAGCGGATCTTGGGTGGCTTGTCAGCAAGGACAGGCAATTTTCCTTGGCAGGCTCTGACTGGCATCAATGGACGAGGTGGTGGTGCCCTCCTGGGTGATCGCTGGATCCTGACGGCTGCCCACACCATCTTCCCCAAAGGAGCGGTGAGGAACAATGTGAGCCTGGACCAGCTAGCAGAGGAGGCTGACGTTTTCCTCGGCCACACCAGCGTGGAAGAGCTCCACAAGATGGGTAACCACCCTGTGCGTAGGATCTTTATCCACCCAGATTACAGCCCTAAAGATGAATATAACTTCAATGGGGACATAGCCCTGCTGGAGCTGAAGCACCCAGTAACCCTGGGCCCTACACTACTGCCCATCTGTCTCCCGGATACCAACACCACCACGTTCTACGCGGATGGGCACATGGGCTACGTGAGCGGCTTTGGTGTGGATAAAAACATCATCTCAAATGATTTGAAGTACGTGAGCCTACCAGCAGTTGCTCGAGATAAGTGTCAGAGATGGCTGGACAGTAAGAGAGACATCCCTATGGTTTTCTCTGAGAACATGTTCTGTGCTGGCTTCCTCAGAGGCAAACAGGACGCCTGCCAGGGGGATAGTGGGAGCGTCTTCACAGTGTTAGACAAGGACAGTGGTCGTTGGGTGGCTACTGGTATAGTTTCTTGGGGTATTGGCTGTGCCCAAGGTTATGGCTTCTACACCAAGATCCTCAGCTATTTGGACTGGATCAAAGGGATAGTAGAGGAGGACAAGCTCTAGATGATGCTGTCCTACTAGCTGAAGGATCACTGCTAGCATATCAATTTCCAGACACATCAAATCATATCCAAATCTTCTGATGATGTCCCAAAGGCTTTTCAAACAGGCAAACCCTGTAACCTTCATCATGAGCACTTATGAAAGCCACCATACTTTTTGATGAATTCTTAGTGGTACCATCAAAACTTACCAAAATTGCTGTACCATTGGCAGCTTGTGGGATGCCTTTGTGGATGTTCTAGATCTTCCAAATCTTATTACTGGATGAAGCCTTAATAATACCAGGAAATCTCATGACAGCAAACATGTTATTGTTTGAAATGCGGACAATATCATGAGACTATTGCGGTATACTTTTGTACTCTATTGTGTGGGAAGGTTGCAGGGCAGAAGGCTTTCTTGAATGATCTGGTGGTTTGTGCTGAGCACATTGTGTGTTTGCCCACTGGCATCACTGATATTCTATAAATATTAAAATAATTGCTGGAGAAACCAGGTGTGTTATGGTTTTCTGTCTTTGTTTTTAATGATAATTGAATATGTCCACCACTGAAAGCAACTTCTGGATTTTATACAGGGATTGCTTTACCTACCACTAAAATGTTTCCACTTCCAAAATGGCCTGTGGCAGCTGCTCACCTGTCAAAAAATGCTGTTAGATTACCCAGTTTGAAGCCCCAGGTGGCTTCAAGGGAGATGAAAAGAAGTTGCCTGTGTGATGCCACAATCAGAAAGATAGGGAAGACAACAACCAATCTCATGGAGAAAAGAGCCCAGGAACCTTTACTGATCAGGATTTGAGGGTGGATTTTTTATATAATATAAAATAAAGCTTTAACTGCAGGACAGCAGCTCTAAAATGATGCTGACTCAGAAAGAAGGTGACCTCTCTTGTGTTGTGGGTATTCTCTGGAGTTGTCTCCTTGTCTTTTGCTACTTTTGCTACTGCAGAATAACCTACCATTTTCTTGAGAGTCACTGAGAGAAATGAAGTCTGCAAAAGCTTGACAGGAGAACTCTGGGGGTAAGGTCAAAGTTGCCTTCTTGCAGTGTTTTCTGTGAGATGCAGCTCCAGGTCTTCTCTGATGTCAGTATCTCTCATTTGCTTTAGAGATACTATGCCCTAGGAAGTTATCTGTGAAATTGCACAGGTGATAGAAGTTCATCCGTGATTTCCATGAATCAGAATTCTGTTGATTTTTTCCATCTCTATGGGCAAGAAGGGGTATGAGAGGCAACAAGAGCAGGGAAAAGCAAGGCTGTACAGGAGCAACAGATAAACCCTAGTTTGGGAAAGGGAATCGCTTGCTTTGCAGGAGACTAGGAAAATTTAGGAAGCTGAGGCATAGAGAATATTTTGCCAAAAATATAGAGATTTGCCAAAAATCTCTATAGGAATCTGAAAACTTCCTAGGAATAGCAGTCCCAGCTAAATAAGTATTTTTCCTATCTCCTCCTCCTGGACCATTCAGCCATATTGCTTTTTTTCTTGTCCTCTGCTGTCCTCAACTGAGTAATATGGCATCTTCGGGAGCAGAAAATATCTCTAACACTGTCAGGTGATCTTTTCTCACAACACTACCTCCCATAAATCAAGGGAAGGTAGTGCTGTGGGAGAAAAATCAAACTTTATTTCTTATCTAACTCAATAACGTTTGAAAAAATAAAGCCCGACAACCAGTGAATGAAAGGATTTTGAAGATGTCTGTTCTATTTAGCTTGATTCAGAAGTCCGAAGTCCTCATTGCTGGTAATGGTTGATCAGTGAGATGCAATCATCTCAGAAGAACTTAATAAAGACTCTTAGGTAGAGAGGTGAGGTAGTATATATGTTATAGCTTGGAGCAAGCTGGCAGCATAGTGGGTCAGAATGTGACTAGACACACAATTTAGGGAGTTCAAGGAAAACTAGGTCTAGACTGAGAAGAAGAAAGGCAATAAACACACAATATAGCACATTGCACAAAAGGCAGTTTGGACATTGTTTAATGCTGTTAGATATTCTGAACAGTACAGAGAATACATAAATCAGAAACCAAGCTCTGAATGTATCTTGGGAACCAACAATTATTCTTTCTTGTCTTCACTGAAATCTCCCTGTTAGGTGAGCCATGGCCAGGTCTTCTCCAAGTGGGAAAAAATAGGACAGAATAAAATGAAAGAAAGCTCTTCATTGAGAACAACATCTTGCTCTTAAACTATTATGAGTAGAAAGAGAGTTTGCCTTCCCAGACATGATGACAGTGGGAGAAACAGATATGTATTTGTGACTCTCCACTCAGCATGGACACAATGAGTTACATTGTGTTATCTATTCCCATCATATATGCAGAGTGAACAGGATCACAGCCAGCCCAAACATATAGCCATCATACTTAAAAAGGGTGACTGTGCTGAAAAAGAGCTATTTCTGCCAAGCTTCTTCATCCTCGTGCTTGCTCATGGTCTCTCTAATCCAGTCCAGGTAACGCACTACCTTGGTGTAAAGACCAAAGGTACCGCATTTCGGTCCCCAGGAGATCAGCCCCGCGACGTAGTACCGTGTGTCATTAAGAGGATCTTGGATAGCAAAGGCTCCACCACTGTCCCCTTGACAGCTGTCCTTGCCCCCACCAGCACAGATCATATTGTCAGTGAACAGGTAAACAACAGAATCATCGTAGCCCTCTGGTTTCACAGATCGGCAGCTGTCCATGTTCACCACGGGAATCTGGGCCTTCCAAAGATCCTTAGGTAGTTTTCCTCTCTCTCTCCGGCCCCATCCAGCAATGTAGCCCAGAGTCCCTTCTTGCAGCTCATATTCAGGTGATTTACCAGGAAGACAGAGGGGTGAAATGTTTGGACCCATCTTCACAGGATCCCTCAGCTTCACTAGTGCAATATCATTATCAAAATCGATCCTGGTTTCTACAGGCTCCTCCTTCCAATCAGGATGGATGAATGAAGCTTCTGGGATCAGATGTTCAGCATCATAGTCCAGAGATTCTTTACTAACATCGACTACCCCAGCATACATGGTGGGATTTTCATATCCCTCCAGCACATGAGCTGCCGTCATTACCCATCTGTCAGAGATGAGTACACCGCTTGCTCTTGGGTCATCAAAATACACCTGCCAGGGAAAGTTGCCCTTTTCTGCACGGGTGCCTCCAAAAATCCTTGCTTTGTCTTGGATGGGATTACTAGGTATCCCACAGACTGGAAAGAAAAGAAAAAAAAAAAAAAAGAGGAACTAGATGGGAGAATTAGGAGTTACAAATAGGGAGTTCTTTCGTACTGCTAGAAAGTTCATAGTCCCCTCTTTCCCGTGTCCTCTAAATAATTTTTGATCCTGAGTAACCAATGTTTATATTCCATGCACAGAGGTCACAACTAGTATTTACAGAGAAATTAAAGAAAATTTTATCAAAACTACTATCAATAATTTAAAAATACTCATTCTCAAATTCTTGTTTCTGGAAACCAATTGTCACCCCACTAGTGACACCATTTAATTGCCTTCTAGCTAGTATTTTTCCTTTGCTGAATTATGCCCTTTACATGAAGGGATTGTCAAATATTTGCTTTATTTTTTAGAAATACAACACAGCTCTTTATTTTGTTGTTGTGTTGTTGTTATTGTGAACTCCAAATGCTTTCATGTTAAGTGTTCAGGTTTGTCACTGACATTTTACCATTTTTCCTCTCCATTCTATTAATATGTAAAATATTAAGTAGTGTGAGATCTTATCTGTGGGTCTTATGGGTGCAGAGATGATCCATGCTTTTTGAGTAAAATGTTCTGTAACATTTTGCAGAATGTAAGCACTAAGAGCATAAATAAGATTGGCCATTCTAACATAGCTAGGAAATTGATTTCTTACCACATTACCTTGTTTACTTTGAATCCTTAGTCATATAGTCAGAGATGAAGGAACTGTAGCCAGCAAGTAGCTTCCAGTTTGAATGAAGTAGAGTTTGTTAAAGAATTTCACATAATCATAGAAGGATTTAGACTGGAAAGTACCTCTCAGTGTCTCTAGTTCAACCTATTCCTTCCTAACTGCCCTCCCCCCTGCCCTCCTAACTATGAAGTCAGGTTGCTCAGGGGCTTTGACAGGTGACTTCTGATCATCTCTCAGGGTGGTGATTAGCCAGTCTCTCTGAACAACAGTTCCTGTGCATTGGGGGAGCATTTTTCCTTAAATACAGTCAGAATTTCCTTTGTTTTAACTTGAGCCGGTCATCGTCTTTTATTGCTGTGTCCTACTGAGAAGAGTCTGGCTTCATGTTATTTGTAACCTCCTCCTGAGTGGTAAATTCCCTGAGCTTTATCTTACAGTTTGTCTTTTGCACTGTTAAGTTATACAGTCCAAGTCACTGGCTCAGCTGGCCCTTAAGAGGGTTGAATCATCTTCATCTGTATCTTGTACTTTGCCAATGAGGATTAGGGGGTTTGGAGCAGTGAACAGGCCTCATGTACAACTAGGCCTAGTCATGCTGCCTCCTCTAAGAGGGAAAGCTCAGCAGAGTGCAGTATACACAAGTTTTAATATTCTCTCTACCAGTTGGAAGTTGAGACCCAGCCATAACTCCCAGCAGTCAGGAGCAGGAGCATTACCCTCCCTGGGAGACATACTGTCTCCCAAGTACACAAAGAGAGGACGAGAAGGTCCTTGACAAGGATCTTGCTTGAGCTTTAAGACATAGTAACTGCAGCTGAATACTGAAGGATGCATTAAACCTTAAGGGATTAGGCTATGACTTGCAGTCAGAGTAGCGAAAGGCCTTTCCCTATAGTGCTGCACTGTAGCCTGGGAGAGACAAAAGACAGGAAGGTCCAGCAGTGTCAGACATATTTTTGACCTGTCAGTCTTTTTGCTACCTTCAGTGAAGATGGAGATCTAAAGCACTAAACAGCTTGAGAATGTGCACACTTGAAGGTGGGGTAACTGGTGCACACACTGATGCTTGAAGAGGTTCTGTTATATCAGATGTCTTATTATGTTGCCCATTTCTGTTTCCAGTTTCTTTCTCCTGCCTCATGGGGCCCACAGCTTTCAGAAATACTCTGTTCAATGTGACTCAAACATGAAAGGATCAACTGTACTTTCAGGCTCAACAGTTTAAAAACACAAGGATGAAAGAAGCAGTGGTCTTCATAGGCCATAGATATATATACACAATTCTTGGTAGTACCTGGGGCACATTTGGGTAGCTTTGTTCCCATCTCTTCATTGACCCATTCTCCACTGGCTGAGCACTGATACACCACTTTGAAAACATGAGAAAAAAAAAAAAAGGATTTCCATAAGGATACAATCAAGATGAAGAGGGGGAAAGTAGCATTACTGTATAAGATGTATTAACCTTCTCACTTCCTAAACAAGCACAGCTTGGTAAACATTGCTGTTATCTCCCCACCAGGGTGCTTCTATCCCTTTTTTTAGAGTGACCTCATCTAATACATTTCTTGAGTCCTTTACTTTTCCACCAGAAGTCTGTGCTGTGTGTGACAAAAAACTTCATGGTTCACTCACAAGACAAATGAGAGAGGACTTGCTAATGCATTTCGGGTCAACAGTCCAAGTACAAACGTTGTTAGAGTGTATTAAACACAGAGGCAATACAAAACTACTGCCTGCAACCCCACACCAATAAGAACTTTTTCCCAGTCTTGACCTGATGGGATATAATCTCAGCCCCATGACAATACCAGAACCACTTCTTAGGCCTTTGATCAAAGAAATGTGATTGTGTAGCAGAGGAAATACTTACCATGCCCTTTGTTTTCTAGGGTATAGTAAGGTGCATCACACTGATACCGGACAGCAGCTTTGTAGAGAGGCTCATGGAGTTCAGAGACATACAAGGCTTGGGCATTGTCAACAGGAGGGGGATCACCACAGTTCACAGCTGTAGAAACAAAGCAAAAATGATTTAAGGGGCGTCCTCACTCAGTAATATGATTATTCTGTCTGATGGGAAACCATTCAGCTCCTCTGATCCCTGCACAGCCATGGGCGCTCACTTCCTCTGTCCCTTTAGTAGGCTCACCTCCCAGTCCTTCAGCATTCACCTAATCTGAAGATATATGGGATCTATAGCCTAAAGACTCCATTCTAGTCTCCTTCTCACAATACAGAGACGGGTCACTTACGAACACAGCTCAAGTGGGAGTTGCTCCATTCACCATTGTCCCGACAGCTGGAGTGAAAACTCGTGATGCTATCTCGTTGCTAGGAAAAAGAACACATGATCCATGTAAGTCTCTGGGCATGATGTCGCTGAGAGGGCCAGAGAGGACACACGCTTTTTTATGTAACTTACCCTCACAATTTCATAGCCTTCCACACAGGTCACCTTCACATTGTCATTTAAGATATACTTGTCCTTCTTTGGGTCAAGAACAGAGTTGGGGATTACACTTGGGGGACAGGTTACAGCTTTGAAGAGAGAGGTGGAAATCAGTGATTAACAGGTTCAAGATTTACTTTCCTTCCAGCTACCAACTTCTTTCTCACAGTGATTTTTTTTTTTCCCTAGTAAACAGGCATCCTCTTTTCACTCAGTATCAGCAGCGGTGAGCATGTTAACATGCTATTGTACCATGAATCTGACCTGGGACAAACCCTCTCCCTAACTCAGCCGCAGAGTGAACGCATTCCCAAGTGTTTACTCACGATCCCCATAGTAGCGTATTTTCCAGCCTTTGTGCTGTACAGCATGGTCTGTCTGGAAGATTATGTCAAGAATGTTATTCCTAGTTCTGATTTCAGGAGGGCCTGGGAATTTGCTGCCACAATAGGGACCAAAATGCTGTTTTCCGGAGACAAGCTGGTAAAATAACAAACAAGAATAAATGAAAAATACAAAACATAAATGTAAAATACCAATGTAAAGAGGGCATGAGCTTAAGCTCTGCCAGGGGAGGTTTAGGTTGGATATTAAAAAGAAGTTCTTTCCAGAGAGAGAGATCAGGCATTGGAATGGCCTGCCCAGAGAGGTGGTGGATTCACTGTTCCTGGAGATTTTTAAGATGAGGCTGGATGTGGCACTGAGTGCCATAATCTAGTAATCACAGTGGGGTTGGATCAAGGGTTGGACTTGGGTCTTCCAACACAATTAATTCTATGATTCTATGTATTTAGAAAGATAGTAAATTGTATACTCAATATATACATATTCAAATGCATTTCTCACGAACTCCAAAAGGCAAAGTAATTAAAAATAAAGTTAAGCAGTCAGAGAGTTCTCTCAATATGAGAAGTTTGATGGGAGATCCAGAGCACCCTGACTCCCTCCCCACACCTACTGTTAAGCTGTCGAGGCAAGTCCCATTTGAATCAGCTGGTTCCACATCGAAGTCTCCACTGCGTATGGTCAGCACCACAAAGTAGCCCGGACGCAGAGCCACTCGGTACTCACACCGTGAATTCTCTGGGTACTGGTTGGGATAGTTGGGGCTGGCAATCTCCCCTGAGGGCTCAGTGAAGACATTTCCACTGCAGTTTACTAGGATTAAGGAAGGAACATTCGCAAGTAGGATACAGAAAGGAAACGGTCCATGCGCGCAGCCGACAAGTTGCTCCATGCAATAACCATGTCACAACATTGTATCTCTCCAAGAAACTGAACCCAGGTCTACTCTCTACCCAATTAGTCAGACTCCAATTCCTTTTTACCCTCCACCTGCAATTTAGGCTCCTTTTATCATGCTCAGGTCCTCATATACTCTTTCCAATATGCACCATTTGTGACCTTGTAACTTTTTGATTCAAGCCAAGCAGGCCCTTGGCCACTTTTTGTGTCTTTATGGAACTGCCCTATTTTGTCAGAAATTTAAAGACTCAAAGATGTTATGGGTATCCATTACAGGCTTTATAGAATGTCATTTAGTAGTACCTTAATTCTTTCAACACAAAAATAAAAATAAGAACATTAAGAATATGTTAATAGAAATTTCCAAAATCACAGTCTCCTGCAGTTCAGATTTGCACTGGGATGTTTTTTGGGTTTTTTTCCCAAAATATACCTGTGACAAATGTTTGAGAAGGTTGATAGAGAAAGTCTTTTCCACTTGGCCTAAAGTAACTCTTGCTTTTGACCACAGCTCATGTAGATGACTCACCTCCACAAGTTCTGTTATCCTCATAGAGGAAATAATCTGGTGGACAGGTACAGAAGTAACCTCCAATGTAATTATTACAGTAATGACTGCAAGGCTCCTCCACAAAATCTGTGCACTCATCCAAGTCTGCAAGGGTGAAAAGATGAATCAGCCAAAATTAGGAGAGGGCCCTGAGGGCAGGAGAAAGATTAGAAAGTGAAACAAACGTTAGAGTATAATAAGGAAAAGGTATCTCTAAGACAGTGTTTATACTGGCCATATTGGAATGCAGTTCTATCTGCTGGGTTTTCTTTTAAATAAGGCATTCTTGTACGGAAAACCCTTCTGTCAGCTTTTCTCCCTGCTCCAGCCTGCACATTACAAAGGTTCAGAAGAGACTGTTTTAACCTTACCTACTGCAACATAGTAGGCTGCAAAGCCAGTGAAACGCTCCTCATTGGAAAAGTCTGATTGGAAGCTCATAGTGAGGGTGTTGTAAGGGACGTGAAATTCCTCCACAATGGAGGAGCCGGGGGCACGAGGCTTCTTCTGCCCGCAAAGCACGCCTTCAACATGGTCACCAGACAGGATCTGCAGAAGAATTCAGAGACCTCTTACCTCCCTACTGGAACATGTGTGATTACCAACACTTGAGTCTTTCATCTTAGAGGTGCTAGGGTGCAGCTGAATGGAGCCCTTAGACAACCAGTTTCATGATATTTGTAAGACACTTGAGCAGTGCTCCCTCCTACTGACTTCCTAGCTGTGAAATACCTGTCTAAATTTCTCAGATAGATACAAATGAATCCAGACAGCCCTCTGTTAACAACCTTTCCTCATGGCCATTTGTACAAAAAATCAGCACTGTGATTCAAAATGGCGAAACCAATCCCTGACAGACTGCAGAGCAGTCCAACAGGTTAATTGGTTTGTTGCAAAAGGACACATTATGACAGAGCAAGCCCATCATTCTGTCCCGCCCTGGTCCTCCTTGAAGGTCTCCTTCTGGTGCTGCCCCTGATCTTACACAGAGATATGGCAGGGTAGAATGGTCTTGTTTCTGCCCGTTTGTGTGGAAATGCTCCATCTTTAGTGTCTCGTGGGACAATGTGGAACAGAGTTAGTTTTAAGAAGTCTGTGGTGCATAGATCATAGAAAACTATGGTGCAAGGGACTACAGCACTTTATCTGAGTGTCCACTATCCATAAGAGACGGATTGTTTCTAACCTCCAACCTTTCCAATCACTTTCTGATTGCATTTAATCATCTATGTCCACTCATGGATTAATTCTGAATAATTTCAGGCACAGACAACCATTACCCTAGGAAAATGGTCCTTTCACATCTACAGTTCACTGTGTAAGACTATGCCTTGCAATGGGGAAGTGTCAGAGATGACTAAGAAGGCTTTTCCTATGAATATCGGAGAAACATGGAGAGGTGGGGCATAAATGGGACAATCAGCAGGCAGACAACACTCATGCGGTTATGAGGCAAACCCAAATCCTTTAGTGACTGTTAGTGGAGATACACTCAGTTATCTGGGCTTCTTGGAGCTCAGAACATGAGGGATGTGCTTAACTCCTCTTCCAGCCCTGAGCTTTGCACACAGCTTTGCTGTGCTGTGCTCTTGCCCACCTTCATGTCTTTTTCTCACTCAAGGACGGGAACAGTACCTTCACAAAGTCGTATTCGCAGTTCTGTGATGGTTCCAGATCCAGGTGTGTGAAATAAAGGTGAATACCATATCCCGAAGGGACTTGGATTTCCCAAGATTTGTTCACGTCATTGGGATACAGCTGAGGATAATTGGGCGACAAGATCTCTCCATACATGGAGGCCGCATCAGCCCAGGCAGGGAGACAGAAGAAGATAAGGTACCTGAAGAAAGAGGAAGAAAGATGGCATTGCAGAAGTCTTTTCCATCCACATACGTGCACAGTCCCCAGTGAAAAAGTTAGTCTTTAGCTGTACACAGCATGCAGCAGAGTTCATGGCTCTGGAGTTTTAATGACCAGTGCTGGGCCTGTATGGGGATTGTCTTTCTCCTGTAACTTTTCACATAGGAGTACAACCCCAGTGGTGCTTTCTGGTTCTCTCAAGCTCTGTAAAAGCTGGTAATGCTGCAAGAGCTGAATACAAGGGTCTTAAGTCCTATTCCCTACTTCATTGCCCTGTTCTTGAAGCTGCTTGGGCTATAGACACATTCAGATCTGACAATCAGTGCAGCTTTACAGGAAAATCACCTAATTTATAAAATGAGATTAGTAACAAACCTGAGTTCCCCTGAGAGATTTAATAACTCACCACATCTGGAAAAAGCAGTTCTTCCTTTCTGCAAACTTTCATGAATTGGACTTTGGAGTTATGATCTGGGACAAAAAACAGTGTAATTGATTAATGTTGCCTGTGCTTCTGCATGTCTGCTAAGTAGGTCAAAGACCCTAAAACCCCAGCTCATGGAGACTAGGTCAGTGTTTTGCTTCAAAAGCAAGTCTGTATCTCTGTCTCTTCCCACATATAGCAACCCCAAGCATCAAGAAGGGATGGTCAAGCTCTGTACTGATAAAACGGAGAGATGACTTCTATGTTAGTACTCACCAGTACTCACACTCTGTGATCATCAGTGTGTCCAGACACCATGCTAGTATCAGCAAATTAAGACAGAAACACCTCCTCTGCCCCCAGCTACCCAGTTCATTCTTCTCAGCACCTCAAAAGTCATTCTAAGATCGTGGGGTTGGGGAGCAGCTTGTCCTGACTCTTCCAGCTGTCACACAGCAATGCTCAGGAATATTTTCCTCTATAATTTCTAATGTTTGCAATATTTACCTTCTCTCTCTAGTTCGTGTCTGGTTTTCTTCTCTCTTCCCTTCTCTTTTTAATCTTTCGCTTTTTCTTCCTGTGCACACCCTCCTCCAATTGCACCCAAAGCGGGGTCTGGGGAAGGGAGCTCTAATTCGCAACATCGCAGCACCCTCTATCTGTGGGATGAGGTTTCCCAGTCTTCCCGCTCGGGGTGAGATGCTGGCCTTGTCAGCTCTCGGCTGGAAGGGGAATTCCCAGAAATAGTTGCACAATCCTGCTAGCTCAGCCTGCCAGGGGGAGCGCACAGGTCTCGTCTCTATTTTCGGGAAATCAGATGACTTTTGGGAAAAGGGAGGGGTATAGAGTTTTCGGTTGCTTTCCTTCTCCTCTTCTTTCCCCTCCCTTTTGAAAGTTGGAAACAACATTCCAAGGGTGTAGAAAAGGGAGAGTCCAATGCTTCTGCATAGAAAAGCATCCAGAGATCACTTTGCTGAAGTTCACTCTTACTGCAACCTGATGTCCACAGGGCTGCTCCCAGTGCTCCTCATTTGATGCTTCAGAGACCTTTTAAAGGGGAAAAAAAACACCCAAAAGATAGTGGCCTATTTTATGTTGTGCCTCTGAGGCTACCAGTAGGAGTAGGAGTGCATGGTTTTGCTGGGTTTGGTATGGAACACTCATGTAAGTAAGGATTTAGGACCGGGAATTCACAGCTACCTCTTTATTTGTCAACTGAACTTCATGTAAGAGCATGTTCATCATGTTCACATTCATCAGACTTAGCCCTAGAGCAAGTTAGATCCAAGACCCTTACAGAAAGGAGTTTAAAGGCTTACACCAGGTAGGACCCTTAATCCAGCCAGTGGCCACAAGCCAAGACCAAAATACAAGCTAAAATCACTATCACTCATATTCTAGAAACCCCCTCCTCCTCACAAACCAGCTGTACTAGGATTGGACTGTAAATGAAAATGTAAAACTCCATTACAACCTCTACTCTTTACAATCAGCACAGCGCACTCCGGGGCTTGTTATAGCCAGGAAAAAAGTGCTTCAAGTTTCAACAGGCCATAGGCAAAGTGCATGAGTAAAGCCTGGCTGAAAGAGTTTTTTATATTGTCAAGGGAGAGAAACACCTACAGATGAATCATAACTGACTTCATTGTAGTCAGGATAAAGGCTTTGCTTGAAGAACATGCCTAGTCTGTTTTCAATGTCAAACTAAGAATGGAGAGAGAGAGAAAACAGTGTCATCTCACTTCTGATGTCTCTTGGGAGCACAGCTTGATGTTTCTAACTGGAATTTTGAGAATCGGGAAAACAGTGATGAAAGATACCCAACAAATCATGACGAGATGTTTTCTCCTCTGATCTGGGCAAAGTAAAAACCCTGTCAGTGATTCTTCGAGCCACAATCATATTTTAAAATGGGCATGGCAGAAATAAAATGAGTGTGGACTGATATATTATGCGTGCCATTTCATCGCAAGGGAATTGTATATTTTCATATAAACCTGATTCAACTTGTCTGTAGCAGTGGCAGGTTAATATGTGTGCGAATATTAATGATTCTTTAGAAGACATATACCTATTAATTAAGAAAAAGATTGCTGAAGTTAGTTAAATAAAATGTAGCTGCATTTTCTCTGGTCACATATCTGCATAATGCTAACTATTTATTCAGAAGACTGGTAATATTTATGTATATATTTGCACTGAATACATATACAGCATTTGATTCCATTTGCTTAGATCTGTATTGTTTTTACAACTTGTAAGAATAAACAGCTAGGTAAGATATTTCACAATTCACTGAAACTATGTCAGGTAACAATTTAAAAGAGGCAAAATCATGCCATTAAGATTAATAAATGATAACATTAAGTTTGTCAATGCAATATAATTCTGCTCAGAGGCACACGCATTCTCCTAAATTCCTAAATTACATGACCACATATTACTTTTCCCAAATTGCATAAGACAAACCTTTCCTTAAGATGATTCAGAGTTGCGTAGCTGTAACCTTTCTGCCAGATGTTATGAAGCGCAGTAGTGTTCCAGGTTTCACAAAATTACCATCTAAAACAGGCCTGACTGGCTTGTCTTCCCCCAGGAATTTGGGGGAGGAAAAAAAAAGCTTTTCCCAAGTGCTAAAGAAAAGCCATACTTTCCCATCTGGAAACATTGAGTCAGTGCATAAAACAAAGGGAGTAAATACCAAAAGAGAAAACAACATTAACTAAGTGAAATCTATCAGGAGAGAGTCAAGGATAAGTAAGTAACAAGTAAAATATGCTCCAACTACCAAGACCCTGGCAGTAATTTGCCTGTTTCCTGTTCTGCCAGTAAGAGGATTCTGTGGGTTTCTTGCTCACTACACTTCCCACTTCCCTCTTATGATCCAGGCCAGTTTTGTTACCAGTCACTAAATTTGGAGCCTTGTATAAACCTCAGGAGAACCTGCCAGTGCAGGTGTGTTCAGAACCCCTCAGTATAACCCACAGATTTCCATCTCCACATACTGTACCAGCAGGATTTTCACCAGTCTGTTCACCTCTTTGACTCCCTCCATCACCAAGTCTGAATGCAAATGCCCCAGTAAAACCTGGGAGCTGGGAGCACTCTGCTGTGTGCACTGTACCACACTGAGATGCCTGCTGCCTCTTGACTCCCTTCCCCTATGCCCCTGGGTGTAGCTTCAAGCAGCTGTGACTGTTAACCACAAGCAGTGCTTGCACAAGCAATGCACTACATTTCCTACAAACAGAAGCCCTATAGTCACGCCTACTTTTCCCTATTCTGACTCACAGCTGAGATGTCCCAACGTGGGATGATTGGTGTGGGTTCTGCTGCGACCTTCCAAGGGATATCCATCTTCAGAGCACACGTGGCATCCCAGAGCTGAAACTGTGGCTGAAGAGGAGCAATTGCATCTATTAGAGTAAAATATTCCCATATACTTTGGCTTACTTTCACTTAATCACGGAATGGTTTGGGTTGGAAGAGACCTTAAAGATCACATAGTTTCAGTCTCCAGCCATGGGCAGAGACATCTTTCGCTAGATCAGGTTGCTCCAACCTGGCCTTGAACATTTCCAGGCATGGAGCATCCACAGCTTCACTGGGCAACGTGTTAATGCCCCACCACTCTCACTGTAAAGAATTTCTTCCCAATATCCAATCTAAACCTACCTTTCTTTAGGTTAAGGCCATTCCCTCTTGTTCTATCACTACTTGCCCTTTTTAAAAGTCCTTCTCCAGCCCTCTTCAGGTACTCCAGCCCGCTTTAGGTACTAGAAGGTGCCATAAGGTCTCCCGGGAGCCTTCTCTTCTCCAGGCTGGACAACCCCAGCTCTCCCAGCCTTTAAACCACAACGCTGTAAAACGCCGTGGTGAAGCCGCTGCTGTGAGAGGAAAGGCGACATTCCTGCGGCAGGAGAACCCGCCGGACAGAAGCTATCGGCGGAGACACAGCTCGCCGGTCCCGGCGGCACCGAGAGGCGGCAGCAGAGACCGGCCGGCCCCGGGGAGACACGGCCCGGGGGCTGCCCCGCCCGGCCCCACAGCGGATGTCGGGGGGGTGACTCCCCTGACTCCCGTGGGTGACACGCTCCGTGCCCGGCACGGCGTGTCCAATCCCTCCTATCAGGAACAGGGGCCACGAACTGCAGCTCCCCCGTTTCGTGGAGGGGGATTTCGGGAGCGGAGCCGGTGGTGCCTGGTAATCAGGCTCTGACATTGCCGTAGGACAAGAGGAGACCCTGAGACCTTGGTCTCAAACTGCTAAGGTTTAGATTGGGCATTTGGAAAAAATTCTTCTCTGCAAGGGTGTTCAAGCATTGGAACAGGCTGCCCAGGGAATTGGTGGAATCACCATCTCTGGAAGTGCTCAGAAAACATGTAGATGTGGCACTTAGTGACATGGTTTTGTGGTGGACCTGGCAATGTTGAGTTGATGGTCGGACTCGATGACCTCAGAGGCTTTGTTTTTCTAATATTAATTTGTGCAGTAATCCCCAGAGTGAAAAGGTGACATGATTTCAAGCATACATACGACCTCCAACACCACAGAGTCCCAGTTTCTCTGTCTCTCTGGTTTGCATTTACATACTCCTGACTTTTTCCCCTGCTGGCTAAAAGGCCTCCTATTCATCTGTCCAATGAAAACATATTTTCATGTCTTCTCCTGCCTGTTATTCCAAGCAGTCACCCTTCTATCTCTATACTCCATCTCTTCCTAGTGGTTCTCTCCCTATCCTCCCTGTGCTTTTCCCTCAACATGGTGATTGCAAGCTGCAGAATTCTGTCCTATTTAGTTTTATTCTGACTCTTGCTCTTCTAGTATCTTCCTCCTCCCTGTCAGTGTTCAACCCTAAACCAATTTCTCAGATAGTCACCTTGTCCCAAGTAACCTGCTCCTCTCCCATGGCCATTTCAACCAGGGTAGGCACCTGTGCCTGCCTGGGAGAAGAGGCACTAGTGAGACAGAGCACAAGATTCATGTTTCAGTTCCTCAGCATACAATAAATGGTCCTGGAAAGATGGCACTGCAAGAGCTCTCGAGGAACCATCTGGAGTCTTGTGCAGTTGTGGTGTGTGGGAAAACTGCATGAAATACTGGAACACAGTCGATGGAAATGAATTTACAGAAGCTTCAGCAGCTCCGTTCCCATAGTGCCACACTGAGCTCATGTGAACCTCAAGTTTCACATTAATACCTATGTAATGTTATGAAAACATGGTATATCTTCAGGACAGTAGATAAAGATTTTTGGCTATACTCCTTCCTCTCAAGAATAACACCGCTATGATTATTAAAATTATACTACTACTGAAAAATAGCAGTACACTCACCATGATCCGAGTCTCAAAACCAGCTACTATGCTCTGACCTGAAGTGGCTATCTAGCATTTAATCTAAACAGGTCAAATATAGCAACATTTCAAGCTACTGAAAACAGAATCTCGCAATGGAAATTGTTAGGCAATCTCAGGAGCAGATGCTGCTTCTGGAACCCATCTCTGACAACAGTAAATTACAGAATGAAAGTTCATATGCACTCTATCTCACCATACATTTAGCTAACTGACCTCAAGTGTATTAAAATGGTACCGTATTTAAAAAAATTATTTCACAAATAGTAGACTTTTCTAATAAGTTCCTGTCTGCACAAAAGAAGTGTGTCAGGGGGTTGTTGTCT